GCTTCACGAATTTGCATGTCATCCTTGTGCAGGGGTCATGCTAATCTTTTCTGTATCATTCCAAGTTTACTATGTGTGCTGCTGAAGCTAGCACCCTGGATTCACTTTTACCTATTAAGTTGGTAACCTCTGCATTTTGAATTCACATTTTTCTTGAAACCTTTGCCAATCCTGTTACTTTAACCTTTCTGAATTACTTTAAGATGTGACTCATACTATAGAGTTGGATTTAGCTTTGTGATCCAATCTGAATGTCTTTTTAAAACTTTTTGAGAGTTTAGCCCATTTACATTTATTGATGTAACTGATATCTAGTCTCCAGTCATTTTGGGCTTTGTTTTAATTGCTTTCAAAGGTTTTTCCCTATGTGACCTGTGTTCTCTGCTTTGTCTCTACTATTCATAAGGAAGGCTGGTGATTTTTTTCTAGTGATACAACTTTAAGTAATACCCCAGTTCTTTTATTTCTTTGGACTAGTATCTATTACTTTCCCTAAGATGGACAAAATAATGAAATTAATGTATTTACTTTCTCTGTACAACTTCTTGGAGTGCATGTCATCATTTTAAACCTCTGTTATTGTTTTAAACCTCTATTACCTGACATCAGCTTTAAATGATGTCTTTTGATCCCAGCTATTAAAGATGAGGCTATCCATGTACTTATACTACTGTCCCCTCTTTCCCTTTTGTTACTAGCAGAACCTTTGCTCTATTCCCAAGGCTTATGCTGTGAGAACCACAGCCCTGCAGCTGTTTCAGTCTGAGTCTCCTACATAAATAGGGTTAGTGCTCACCACCAATCTTTTTCCCTTAGCCTCCCATCATCCCAAATTGGCCCTCTAACAGATGGCTCAAGGCTTCATATGAACAACCCTCCTGGAGTCCCTGAAAGTTCAGATGTCTGTCAGCTTCCCACTTAAATGAGTAAAACGTAATCCCTGGGTCACTTTGTTTCCTTGAAGATTTTTTATAGACCTTCTTCTATTCTCTTCTCATGCTGAATGTTGCCATGGAGAAGTTGAAGCCTGGTTTTTTTCTCCTTTATATTTCTTTTTGATCTTTCCATATTTTTATGCCTTTACTTTACTAGCATGTGTCTTGAGGTTGTCTGTTCAGTCTCTTTTTCTTCGAACATACCACCATACCTTTCTGACAGGCAGATCCACAGCTTGTATTACTTTAGTTTCTTATTTGGGGACTCTAGTTAAGCATAGATTGATTGACTGTCTTTCATCTTTCTTCCCTATATATCCTCCTCTAACTTAAACTTTTTTTTCCTTTTCATTTTGCTACCTTTTTTTCCTGTGTTTTCTTTCTTCCTGTGTGCTCATTGTGTTTTCCCCATTTGGTTTTACAATAAGTTTTTTCTTCTGCTCTTGTATATCTCCTTTGTGTTTTTGATATAGAAACAATTGTGTTTCTAAGTATTTCCTTCACAATTAAATATTTGGCTATAATCTTCGTCTCTTCTGTGGCCACATTTTTCTGATGGAAGTGTTTTGTGCCAACCACTACTTAACTTATGCTTTGCTGTTCCATCAGTTTTCTTATATATGTTGACTAGGTTCTGTACTGGCTCACTTTTGATTACTTGCCTCTGAAAGAGGTGAGTTTTTCCAGGTCCAGCTATTTCCCTCCAGTTGCCTCAGAGACACACAGTCTCCTGAAAATATAGTTTATTTGTGGGATTTCTTATTTAGCCCTACCTTCTTTGCTCTTTGGAACAAATTGGGTCTAGGAAAGCTCTGTCACCAGCTGATGTACTCCTGGTTTCACTGCTGAAGGGGGTTTAGATTTTGTACCTCACATTTGGTAAGTGTACAGTGCTGGCTCTTTCAGAAATCTATAGCTGTGGCACCCTCTGCCTCCTCTCTCAGGCCCACTTGATCCCTGTTGTGTTGGGCAGCCTGTCCACTTTTGGGGGGAATTCAGTTGGTATATAATATTATATTGGTTTCAGATGTACAACACAGTGACTCAGTAATTATATACATTACTGGATGTTTGTACCTCTTTACCCACTTCACCTGTTTTACCAAAACCCACCCCATCCCCATGGTAACCAACAGTCTGTTGTCTATATTTGTGGGCCTGTTTATTTTTTGTTTTGTGTTTTAGATTCCACATGTAAGTGAAATCATATGGTATTTGTCTTTCTCTGCCAGGCTTATTTCACTTAGCATAATACCCTCTAGGTCCATCCAGGTTGTTGCAAATGGCGAGATTTCCTTCTTTTTAGGGCTGAGTAATACTCTATTATGTATATAAACCACATCTTCTTCCATTCTTCTGTCAGTGAGCATTTGGATTGCTTCCATATCTTTGCTATTGTAAATAATGTTGCAGTGAACATAGGCATACATATATCTTTTTGAATTAGTGGTTTTGTTTTCTTTGGGTAAATTCCCAGGAGTAGAATTGCTGGGTCTTATGGTATTTCTATTTTTAGTTTTTGAGGCACCTTCATATTGTTTCCACAGTGGCTGCACCAATGTATATTCCTACCAACAGTGTAGGAAGGTTCCCTTTTCTGCACAGCCTCACCAATATTTGTTATTTCTTGTCTTTTGGGTAGTAGCCGTTCTGACTGGTGTGAGGTGCTACCACATTGTGGTTTAATTTGCATTTCCCAAATGATCAGTGACATGGAACATTGTCTTTTCATGTGTCTATTGACCATCTGTATATTGTCTTTGGAAAAAAATCTATTCAGGTCCTTTGCCCATTTTTTAATTGGATTTTTTTTTTTTTTTAGTGTTGTGTTGTATGAGTTCTTGATCTGATAAGGGGCTAATGTCCAAAATATATAATTTGCAAATATATTCTCCCACACAGTGGGTTGCCTTTTTGTTGAGGGGGTTTAGCTAGCTCCTAGCTTTGCCAAAAATGGAACTTAGGTTTTTGTTCCATGTTGCTTTCAGGGTATTTTCAGGAGTAGTAGGGGCACCTAAGATATTATAGTAACATCCTCAAAAGTGAAGGTCCTCTGTTGGGGTTCTTCCAGAGAGGGGTTTAGATAAATATTTGTCTGCCTCATTAAAACAGAATAGTGAACAGACACAGATAATTTGGGAAGGCCTTTGAGTTTGTTTGTTTGTTTGTTTATAAGTATCATTAATCTTATGATAGTTTCCCATAAACAACACTGTGGTTTCAACATTCACCCATATTATCAAGTCCTCACCCCCTCTGTTGCAGTCACTGTCCATCAGTGTAGTAAGATGTTATAGGGTCATTACTTGTCTTCTCCGTCCTATACTGCCTTCCCCGTGATGTACCTGTATTATGAGTGCTAATTATAATGCCGCTTAATCCCTTTCTCTCTCCCTCCCCAACTTCTCCCCTTTGGTAACCACTAGTCCTTTTTGTTCCTTCAGTTTTGCTTTGTTTTTATGCTCCACAAATGAGTGAAGTCATTTGGTATTTGTCTTTCTCTACTTGGCTTATTTCACTGAGCATAATACTCTCTAGATCCATCCATGTTGTTGCAAATGGTGGGATTTTTCTTTTTATGGCTGAATAATATTCCATTGTGTATATATATCACCTCTTCTTTATCCATTCATCTACTGATGGACACTTAGGTTGCTTCCATATCTTGGCTATTATAAATAGTGCTGCAATAAACATAGGGGTGCATATGTCTTTTCAAATCAGGTATCTTGTTTTCTTTGGGTAAATACCTAGGAGTGGAATTACTGGGTCAAATGGTGTTTCTATTTTTAGTTTTTTGAGGAACCTCCATATTGCTTTCCACAACAGTTGAACCAGTTTACATTCCCACGGAGGGCCTTTGGTTTTAAGAAAAAATATTTTTCATGCACAGCTCCTCTCATACATGACCTCCAGGGAGAATATCTCATTGTCTTTTATAAAACTAAGTACTTAACTGAATAGATTGTCCATGGCACCCAATTCAAAAATAGGAAGAATTTACAGCAAAGATTTTAACTCTTCCTAGAGGAAATCAGCATTAGCAGCTTCTTAAGTACCTTCCAGAAAAGTATGTATATTTGTGAGGGGCAGTAATACCTTTTATATAAACATTTGCCCCCCAACACATTCTTCCCAGCTCCTTGCCTCTTTTCCTCACTAATATATCTTGGCGATCATTCCACATCTGATAGAAAGAATGCCCTCATTCTAATACTTGCATTGTATTCCATTGCACTAAGAATAACATTTTTAACCATTCCTCTGCTGATGGACATTTAGGTTGTTTCTAGTCTCGTGCTATTCTGAACAGTGCTGTAATGAGCATCTTTGTACATGTGTAAATATCTGTGCAGAAAAATTCTTCCAGGATGGACTTGCTGGCTCAAAGGATCAATGCATTTTAGCCTTTGATTGTTACTGTCCAGCTGCTGGGGTTCCCTGCCTTGACCCCTGCTGGCAGGCTAGGCATGACAATCTGGGCTATTCCTCCCTTCCCACTCCAAGGCTGGAACCAGAGGCCACCAAGGCCATCCTGCTTCCCTGCCCACTCAGAACCTTTGACATCTTGATACTTATTGGGAAGGACACTGACTGCTGTAATTGAAGAGTACAGGAAAGAGGGAGGCAGGAAAGGAGATAAGCAAATTAAATTGGGTGCCCTGCTGCCGGTCAAGGCCTGGAAAACTGGCAGAAGAGGCTCCTGCCCTTGGCTCCTGGGCATGACTGCTGGGCTGTCAGTCTCCAAGTGGACCCTCTTTTTCCCTGCAGCCCCACAGAACTGAGACAGGAAGGACTGGCCCTGAGCCTTATGACCAGACCGTGAGCTCCAGTGTTTCTCACCAAGGGAGACAGGTCTCGACAGGGCCATGTGCAGGGTGATGAGTGGGTTGGCCTGTTGGGGCCTGTGTCTCCCCCTCTGGGAAGTGAGGGCTCAGGTCAGATGAAGCCAAGAAGCCGTCCAGATCTGACCATCTGTGATGATACTGTTGAAAGCCTGGTAGGGGGAAGATGTGGCCTAGTTTGAGACCCTCTCCTGCCTCTTCCTGTGAAAGGGATCAGAGAGGGCTGACTCCACAGGGCTGCATGGGGACCAACCTCTGCATATGCACAGAACGTGGCCAGTGAACCTTAAATGGCTGCAGTTCCCCTCTCTGGGACCTGAGGTCTGGGAGGTGGAGGAGCAGGGGCCACAGGTGGCCGTCTGTTGTAGCCTGTTCTAGGTGACTAGACAGCTATCTGGAGAAAAAGAAAGGAAAAAAAAAAGGTGGGGGGGAAGGAAAGTCCATTTCCCCTCCCCTACCTCAGGCCTAAGATCCTGGGCTGCTCCCAGCTGGGCGCACTCCCTGGGTCCCAAACAGGACCTTCCCACGCCTGGGACAGAGGCCTGTTTTCCTCAGCTGCTCAGGACCTTTCCCACTAATAAATATTTGACTTTCTCATCACGGTGTGGATACATAAGCTTTGAGTCACACACTGCTCAAAGTACAGGCTGTGCAGAGAGCCCCAGAGAGGCACTGTGGTGGCTTGGCTTATGGGGGAGCATCGGGTACTCAGGGACCTGTCATTCAAGGAGGGGGAACCGAGGCAGCTGCCCCTGGAGACTGCCTGCTGTGAGCCTCCACCCTCACCCTGCCAGAAGTTGGGTAAGTGACACAGCCTCTCTGTGCCTCAGGCTGCTCCTCTGGGGGTGAGGGTCGTGCACCCACGCTGCTCACCTCCCCGAGACCCCAGGGCAGGCTTTGAGACTCAGGTGCCCTGAATAGGCCGTGTGTGTGGTCTTGGGCATGAGTGGGCCTCAGTTTCCTCCTGTGATGTGAGGATGAGGACAGGAGAGAACCCTAGGGATCTGGGAGCAGACACACACTTCACCTGCCCCATCCCCCAGGAGGGGAAGCCCCCTTCCCACACGCACAAGGGAACCAGAGGTTCCCTGGCCCAGCTCTCTCATCTTCATGGGCAATAAGTTTGAAAGGCCTGCTAAGCCTATGTGATCGGGGGGCTGCTCTTCTCCCCACTCCCGCCTGTTGCCTCTCGCCCAACAACCCTGCCCTGGGTGGGCTGGAGCCACTGCCCCACAGGCATCCCTGCAGGTGCAGCTGCTCCCCCTGACACTGTAAAGTGTGGGAGAAGCAAAGCCATTTAAAATTCCAATAAAATTAAAAATAAGCCTCTGGCAGCAGATTCAATTACGTAGCTGTTACCGAGTGCAGCCTGGAGGACGAGGAGAAGGTCCCACACGGCCCCTGCCTTTGGAACTGCCCCTGGGCGAGGACCGCAGCTGGGGAGGGGCCGGGTGGGCCAGAGGCAGGTAGCCCCCTTTATGATCTAACAAAGACACTTAAGTTTTTAGGGAACCAGGAAGGCAAGCAGCCTCTGTCTTCTGTCGCACAGTATCCAGCCACAGTCCACAGCACACCAACCTGAGGTGGCAAAATCAGAGGAAGGTGAAGATCCAAATGGCTGCCTCCCCGCACTGTACAGAGGTCCTGACAGCGCAGTAAGACAGGGAAAGTATACAACAAGTTGTAAGGATTAGAAAGAAGTAAAACTATCCGTATACCCCAAGAAAATAAAAATTTAGCCAGACAGCAGTTAAAGAGTAACACACAAACACAGTTGTGTTCCGTACAACAGATTGGCAAACTTTTTCTGTGAAGACCTGTTATTTTCGGCTTTGCAAGCCCTGCAGTCTCTGTTTTAACTATTCAGTTCTGCTTTGTAGTCTGAAAACAGCCACAGACACACAGAAATGAATAGGCATGGCTGTGTTCCAATAAAACTTTACTTACAAAAGCAGGTGGCAGGCTGGATTTGGCCAGTATATAGTAGTTTGCCGGCTCCAGCTCTACACCAACAGAGTTGGAAAATGTATTTTTTAAAAAGATGCTATTACAATTCTTTTTGGAAATAGTTTTTTGTGTATGGCAACACATACCATACAATTAACCCATTCAAAGCACTAGTGAATTTTTTAGTAAATTCAGAGTTGTACGACCCACCACCATTAGCAGAACATTTTCTCATCACCACAAAGAAAATCCCAACAGCCATTAGTAGTCACCCCCTGATTTCCCCTGCTAGCCCCCTCCCATCCCCTGGCAACCACCTAAACTACTTTCTCTCTAGATTCACCTGTTTGGGACAATGCATATAAATGGAATTACTCACTATGTAGCCTTATGTGCCTGGATTTTATAATGTTTTCAAGGTTCATCCATATAGTAGCATAAGCCAGTATTTCATTCCTGGTTATTGTGGAATATTTCATTGTATGGATATGCCATGTTTTATTTACCATTTATCAGCTGATGGACATTTGGGTTGTGCTGCTATGAACATTCATGTATAAATTTTTGTGCAGATGTATGTGCTAATTTCTCTTGTGTATTTATCTAGAAGTGGAATTGCTGGGTCACATGGTAATTCTATGTTTAACTTTTTGAGGAGCTGCCAGAATGATTTCAAAAACAGCTGCACTGTTTTACATTCCCACCAGTGGTATATGAAGGTCCAATTTCTCCAATCCTCACCAAAACTTATCATCTGTCTTTTTGATTATAGCCATCCTAGTGGGTGTGAGGTGGTATCTCATTGTGGTTTTGATTTATGGGTACTGTTTTGATTGCCATTGAATCTCTTTGTTATAGGTCTATTCAGGTTTTCTATTCTTAAATCAGTAGTTTTTGTGTCTTTCTAGGAAATGTCCATTTTATCCAAGCTATGATACACTACAATTTATTAAGGAACCTAAATTGACAAAAGAGGTAAATGACCTTTATGGAGTAAAATCCAAGTTTACTCAATATTTTTTTTAAAGACTAAGTAAACCTAGACATATGTCATGTACATGGACAGAGATTCAATATGGGAAAAATGCAATCCAATCCCTAATCCTGATGGTGTATGTATGTGTGTGTAACTTGAAAAGCTGACTTCAAAGTCGATAAGGAAAGACCAAGAGGCCAAGAATGGCCATGGGCTTTTGACCACAAGGATAAGGGTAGGGAAGGCTCAGGTCCTACCAGGCCTGGAGGCTGGGGTAGTGACCAGCAGAGGGGGATGGAGCAGCTCAGGCTGGCACCATGTGGCTGAGCCATTGCTGGGGAGGAGATAGGCAGCCTGCGGTATCCGCCTATCCGCAGAGAGTAAAGGACACCGGAGCCTGCCTCACATCACACCACACACAGAAAGTAAGTCTAGGAAGACTGAAAACCTAATACTGTGGGAAGCAAAGACCATACCATTCTTTGAAGACAATGGTGGAGAGTATCATCCTTAGTTTAGGAAGCATTTGCAAACTGAAAGAATGCCCAAATAAAGAAAGTAACTTGGGCCACATTAAAATTAACCACAGTTTAAAAGCAACATGTACCATAAAGTCAAGATCAGCCAAAAATTGAGAGAGGGCATCTGCTACACTTCTAATGGACCAGCCTCCAGAATAGAGAGCCACATGGCTACAGAAGGATGGCGGTGTGGAGGGATGAGCATGAGAGCTGGAGGCAGAGGCCGCAGTGGGAGGGAAGGGGAAGGTGGCTCAGGCCAGCACGGACGCGGAGACAGGAATAGGTATATGGCCATAGTTCACAGGGCAGGGGCAGCCACCAGGAAGACAGAGGACAGGCAGAAATGCAACAGGGGGAGTTGGGACACAGATGAAGCCAGGGGCTGGGTACAGGGAGCCTGAGGAGTGGGCTCCCAAAGGCAGCGCAGTCAGGGAGCGTGTGAGGGAAACTGAGGCACAGGGTAGGGTCTGGAAAGTACTCCCAGCCCCATGCACAGGGACACCTCAGCCACTCCAGGGACACATGTGCCTATGAGCACCTGCCTGTGAGCATGTGTGTGAGCCTGCACACATGTGTACACGCACGTGGCTGGAGGGCAAGAGACAGGGTCCTTCGTGCAGTGCCCAGTGATAACCCTGCCCTGCCCAGCTGACCCAGAAAGTGAGAAGGCCAGGCGCCCAGCCTCTTCTGATCACCCTCTTTGTGCCAAGCTTTCAGCTGCACGTTCTTTCATTTGATCTTCACTCAGTCCCCTTAGGGAAATGGAGGCCAGGGAACTGCCGTCACTCCCCTGAGGTCCCCCATCTGGTGAGTGGGGCACCTGGCTTCACACCCTGCTCAGGGCCCGGCTGGGGGCAGGTCGGGTCCCACTCCACATGCCTCCCAGTGGAGGCCAGGGAGCAGCTGCATCTGCCCTGGCCCAGCCGCCTCCCTGCACCCCCTCCTGGGCAGCCTCATTAGGGATTCTGCTGGTACCACCAGCTAATTAGTGTCACGTTAATTGAGCATTCAGGAGGCTGCCACCTCCAAGGGCAGTGTGGCAGTGAAGGGGAATGCAGATGCAGGCTGCTCCCCGCTGTGGGCTGGGCGGGCCCTCTGCCCCTGGAGCAGCCCTGGACACCCTCCGCCCATTTCAGCACAGATACTGCTGCTGTGACTTCCTGGGCCCATGGGAGGAGGCGGTAGCACAAGCAGCCACAGCCTGGGAAAGAGTGGGCATTTGCTGAAAACCTACTGTGTGCCTGCACACCTTTACTTCTCCCTCCCCTCCTGTGGAAGGCTACAGGTAACTCCACTCTACAGCCAGAAAGTCCAAGGCCCACTAAGGGAATACGTTCTCCAGGGGCGCGTCAGCGGGACAGTACCACAGGGACTGGCATCTACCCACGGAGAGCCCTGCGGTGTGGGACAGGGACTCTCGGCGACGCCCCACCTCCACTGCTCCTTGATGAGCAAGTAGCACATGCCTTCCTGTGCAGAGCACCGCCCCGACCTCAACAACCCATGACGCGTCCACCCCTTCATCGCCTCAAAGATGAGAAGTTAAGGGTCACATTAAGTCGCTGGCCCAAGGTCACCCGCAGCAAGTGGTAATGCTGGGCGTCAGATGGCCACAGCCTGTCTATAGTCAGGTCCTCCGAGCTTCTCACTTCTCTGCAGGCTCCCCACAGAGCCCCACCCTCCATCCACCCTCCCCTCCTCCCCGCTCCCGAAAGGCAGGGTGCCGAGGCCCACTCTCGGTGTCTCCCTGTAGCAGTATTAAATCCCCCTCAAAGAGCTGCTTTTAATTGGCTTAATATACTCGTTAATAACCACGTCTATTTAACACACCTGTAAAAGGCCCATAACATTAAGTTAATGGCAGTGACGACTCACCCGCAGTTCCAGCCAGCCTTTTAAATTTCCCGACAAGGCTTTAGTGGGGCCCTGGTGGGCAGAACAGGGGCAGAGGCGGCGTGGTTCACAGCGCAGAGGCCTTTCTCTGCACATGGGCGTCCCTGCTCTGTCTGTGGCGGCTGGCCTGCAGCCTCCTGGACACTAGGGATTTGCTGGGCTCTGCGCCGTTGTTCATGCACCTTGTCCCAAGCTCCTGCCGTGGTTCCACAAGTTCTTTTAGGCACCAGGGTGATGAGAGAGAGCAGGGCCTGCCCTCAAAGGCCTCCAAATCTAGCCCAGGAAACAAGTCAATGGACACAGACATCATGGGGCTCTGGGGGGCATGTCAGGACTGGAGGTAGGGTGGATGTCAGCAACACGTCTTACTTCACTCTCCCAGCACATAATTCAAGCACCTACTGTGTGCCAGGCACTGTGTGGACAATTCCACCCAACCCCAGATCGATCTGGTATTGGGTATA